AGAGAGAGAGAGAGAGAGAGAGAGAATGAGGATGAGGAGGATGAGGAGAAACATACAGGAGAGATTCATTTGTTACACTATCTAGTGGGAAAGAAAGAGTGAAATAGTCAGACGAATATATTATTCGTCTATTTTACCATTTGGACAATCATTTTTAGAGCTTACATACTTACAAGGGACACATGCTTTTGTTCTATTTGGTTCTCACTTCTAACAAATATATGCCTTTTAAACCTCGCTATAGCAGTGGCTAATGTGCTCAAACATGATGTGACTATATCAAAGGTTTCATTACTGTTGAGGTGGTCTTTTAATTTTAAAAAAAGACCTCTTTTCAATCTTCAGATCATTTTATGAGTGTTTCTTCTCTCTAACTGATGACACTTCAAGGTAAGGCTGACAGAAAGGTTTACTGTAACAAAAACTATAACAGTGAAATAAAAAATCTTAACACTTTTACATAAGCTTGCAAAATACTTAATGAATAATTGAGAGAATGAAATAAGAAGGCATTTTGCACACAATGTATCGAAATGACCAAATTCAAAGGATTTACACAGAAAATGAATATTTTCAAAATTCAATTATAATGTATATATACTATTGTACATGCCATAAAATCTGCACAAAATGTCACACATGCAGACCCACGTAAGCACAAGCCTACATTAAATGTTATTCTATATTATCAATTATTATAACATATATGAAGGAACACATACATTAGAAACATCTTACTTAGTAGGGTCTAGAATATAAAAGATGCAGTCAGCAGAGCAATACATTTGAAGGCACAGTGGTGGAGTCCGCTTAAACCCAAATCTATGGGACCATCAGATTTTCTTCGCTTTAGCCAGGTTTTCAGTTTGGAGAGGTTGTTCACATAGAAGAAAAAGAAATCCAAGATTTTATCTTCTTTTGGTTTCCTGCTGTTTTTAGATTAAGTGTTCGGTTTAAGTAGACTCCACTGTGCATAATAAAGTAGAATGAATAATATTATCTCGATCTTGAAAAGGAATGAAGATAAGAGCTAAAAATTATGATCACTTACAGAACAAAAACAATGAAACAGCTTTGAAGTTCATATCATGTATACATCTCCTTGATCTACTATTTTTTCTGGGAGCAAGTTTACTCTGTTTGTATCATGCTGGACTAAGGAGTGGATGGACCTGGTTTGAATCCCTAACAAGGAGTTCTTCACCAATATGGATCAGTCCTATCAGAGATGGAATTAATTCCAGAGGTCCCACATCTCTATATATTATATTTGTGGAAGTTCATCACTTCGGCGCCAAAAACTTCCTAACTACTTAACTTACAAATTTGACAAATATAATGGTGGTTCAGAATCATTTAAAGGGTGCTCAGTTTTATTGCCAAGCCTGAAGTCACTCTAGTTTAATTTGCAGTTTTTCATTAGTTTCGTTTAGATCTAATCTTGGGAAAGTCCATCTTCTACGACGCCATTGTTGGCGCTCATATGACTTTATGCAGTTGCGAGTGCCGTAAAACCTCTACTAAAACAAACGACGCCATTGTAAACAAGTGAGGTTTCCGTTTACTAGCCGTGTACACCTTTTAAATTCTGGAGAGTACAACCACGAAAGAGGAATAGAGAATCAACCTATATGTCTATTTTTTATTTGGCAACTTATTGCTCCATTCCAGTAGAGTGTAAATATAGTAGGCCAATTAAATGACTTTCAGTTGATGTTAATGCACCGATCATTCCTTTCATCGAAAAGGGGCCCAGCTAGTCTTAAATAACCTTACAGTATTGAAAAGAGTATTATTCTCATCCCCCTCCCCCTCCCCTCCATCCTCCACTTATAAGCCGCCCAGAAACACAGACACAGTAAAGAGGCAGGGACAAACAGAAGTTGCAATAACTGCTAAAAACAAATCATCATGAGCCGGGATAAGCGAAATATCAACTAACGGTCTATGAGGAGTAACACTAAACTGAGAGTATAATTAGCTCACTCATTAGTATTAATATTAGCTCCAGTCACATAAAAAACAAAACCAGATGGGTAAGGCCCACAAAATACTATGAAAAGAATTAAATCTGAAAAAAAAAATGCAAGACTCAAAAGTCAGTTGACTATGATACCTTTTCAGGACAATGCACAGTTGCACTTCTAACTGATACTGCTTTGTTGCAGTAGAACTTCTTACATAGCACCTTTGCCAAAATTAAACAAAGAGGGTAAGATTATATAATGCATCATTGTTATCAGGCTTTAAAAAATAGAAGTTTTCCATTTACACCTCCAGAAGCCAAAAGAGGCTGTGCCGGGTGGAAAGCTACACTGCATACTACCTCGTTATGACCACGTAAACGTTCACAGTATGTGCCCATACGAATGTCATATATGTACACTAGTTTGTCCTCTGAACCAGAAGCAAGATAGTTACCACAGGGACTAAATGCAATTTGACAATTGACAGCTCCATTTGAATGTCCCACAAGAGCCTGAACATTGGACTTTGTGCGTAGATCCCAAATTTTGACAGGATCATTTGGAGCAACACTTGCAACAACATTGTGGGCATCTGAAGGTTGAGAAGCAAAGCAAGAGCCTTCATTAATTGTCACACAGTATGCTGGCCGATTGTGAGCACCTGAAAATGTATGGGCAAGAACTGACTTGTTCAAATCATATACCTCAATATCACGAGCTGTTGTTGCACACACCACAAGATGAGAGAAAAATGTATTGACTGCAGCACAAGCTGTGAATGATGTACTGCCAGCTTCCCACTGACTGACAATCTTGTAGCGATTCTGTGATTGATACGACTTAATTTCATCCCTCTGAGGGCTAACAAAATACTTGTAAAGAAATAGCTGAGGCCCATTTATTAAAAGGATGAATTTATCCATGTAAAAAAATTGTGCATGCTTCATTTCCTTTCTGAATAAAGAATTTTCTGAACTTGCTGAAGCAGAGAGACCTGCAGAGTCGTTGGGTTTCGTAAAGTTAGTCTTCTTCCTGGCAGCTGAGGAAGAACCAGCATCTGAAACAGAGCCTTTGATTTGCTGTTCTTTCTTTGATGCTTTCTGGTGGGTCAAAGTCATGATAGGGTCACCTCCAGTTTTGTCCCACAGCAACGCACTCTTGTCATTTGAAGCAGTAATTATAACTGAGTTGGTGCTATTGAAGAAAGTGGAATTTATAACATTATTGTGACCAACCAGTGCTGTACATTTATGTTTGCTGAAAGGAGACTTCATCAGAAGAGCTGTTTTGTTAGACAGAGAACAGGCAAGGGCGCTTCCATCATCAGCAAATCGAAGGTTAAGAACCGCAACTGACTGGTGATCAACATCAAAACTGTCGCACAACTCTACTGGGGGACCTTTGCTAGAGTTGTATTCTTCTTTCAACATTTTCTTGACTGACGTTTTGTCAGTTTGAGGTACAGCTTTATTATTAGATGAATTGTTCAAGAGGTTTCTTTTGCTGGTATCAGGTTTGAACATAGTAGTTCTTGGGGCCTGTGAATAACCAGAAGACTTGATTTTGCTCTTAAATGTTAAAGGTTGGTTCATGGGGTTTGCTAACTTCTTTTTACCTGTCGCAATATCCCCCTTTGTTGTAGGTGTTGATGAAACTGGGGGTAACATTTCTGCCTTGAGTGGAGATCCAAGCAATAACACAGTGTCGGGAATTATGTTAAGAATAAGATCATCACTTTTGGGGTTAAATTCTTCAGAAAAAGTATCTCCAGCATTCATTGCTTCCTTGCTCTGCAAATCCCAGAGTACAACATGAATACTGCTTTCAAAACGAGTTCCTACAACTGCCATTACTGAACACTGCTCTGTTTGACTAAGAGCAGAATAAGCAATCGGTCCAACTACTTTAGAACTTGAAAACTTGTCACTGTCCATTTCAGAGTTGAAACTCTTCACATCTATTATCTCATACGTCCTTGAATTCATTTGCAACACAGCATTTGAAGTCGTCATACAGACTGAAGGGGGCTGGTCAGTCAGCACATCATGGGTGCCAGATTTCAAATTAACAAATGGCGAATTTATTGAGGACTGATTCAACTGCTTGTAATACACATACTGGATACTTAACACAGATTCCCCAGATTCTACTTCTGAAGAGTTATCAGAAACTGCCCAGCCTGTAGGTGCTTTTACATTACTGTTTCCCTTAGTGTCTCTCAGCAAATGTTTTTGATCAGGAGCCTGGCGTTTTAAATATAGCTCCAAATCCAAGCTGTGTAATTGCCTAAAACCATTACCATCAGTTAGATCAAATATTTTCACACTTCCATCGGCTGACCCAATAGCAACATGAGGGACTGCCCAGTTCATAGACATGCAGATTAGGGGTCCTGAAGATATAATGGCTGACTGGTATAGCAGTGACATTTCATTAACATCCCAAACACAAAAACTGCGGTCATCAGATATTGAGAGTAATGTTGCAGAATAGTGGGGACAGTACTCCAATCTAGTGATCATTGCTTTGTGGCATTTTAAAATACCTACAGAATGTTTCTGACTTGAAGAATCAAGAAGCACGATAGAATTATCAACCCCAGCAGCAATGATATTTCCATTGTTGTTGAAACACATCGCTGTGACTTCGCCTGGTTTCACAAAACAAGTTTTGCCTGACACTTGTTTACTTGCATTGCCATCTGCACCGGCCAAATCCCAAGTCAAAATTTGGTCCTTGCATGCTGAGGCAAGTTTATCGCCATTTCTTGAGTGAAAAGACAAGGCAGAAATCCGAGAAGAGTGTCCTGAAAGTTCAATGGGTGGATTTGGGATGCCATGGTCCGATGTGCGCCACACCCCTATGATTTTTTGCGAAATAGGAACCGCAATCCACTGACTATTAACACACGGGTCCAAACATTCTGGGTTCGCGTGAAGTGGTAGCGAAAACCTATGGGTGATACTACCGATATTTGTTTTATCATTGCAGCTCATTGTGGACATCCAAATCAACTCATACAAGATTTAACTTGCAGAGAAAACAAAAGACAAGTATTCACATGAAATCTCCCCAATTAGATTTTATTTTAATCCACGACTGTTTGTTTACTTCAGGTTCCAACATGAGTATTCCCTGATTCAGTTCACTAAAGTTCACTTCCGTTGCTCACCACGCCAAGCTCTTGTAGTTAAGGATGTGACGAATACGAATACCAGTGTAAATTTGCTTTAGCCCGATATTCTGATTGCTATTAGAAAATTATTAGTATCACGTGGGTTTTTTTTGGTAAGTGTTTTACGGCGCTCGCAACTGCATAAGGTCATATGAGCGCGCGGGACACACCTAATACTTTTAGATGGTAGGAATTTTTAAATTTTGCCCGGGTAGCAACAAGGCTAGAGGGCGACCGAGAAAGACCTGGATAGATGGAGTCAGGGAAACATTAAACACCCACGGCGTCCCCCTGACCCAAGCTCTCCGGCTGGCGACAGAGAGACGTCTCTTTCTTCCTGCGACACCCAAAAGGATATAAGCGGCAGATAAAAGTAAAAGGAAGTAAAGCCCGGGTGGCGGGCGAAGCCTACTCATATCGATTTTGGACCATCAATTTTTTTTAAAAAGGGATCTTTAACGTGCGCAACTTGCACTCGGGCCCTCCGAGATTTTTCGCCCTTGTCCGAGAAGGCTAGGTGTAGATCTTTCCTACCAGAAGATCAGGGGTGTGGCAGAAAGACAGCTGTAAGAAGGAGTCAATGAGTAGCAGTAGAAAGGCTGCAAGCAAGAGTCAGGAGCCCAGAGGAGGGGACAAAGGAGGTGAGGGGGTGGGGCAGAGGAGGTGAGGGGTGGGGGTAGAAAGAGGAGACGAAAGCAGACGACAGAATATTGCTAGAGAGCAGGAAAGGAGGTGAAAGGAGACAATTTTAGAGAAGAAAATTTTTCGGTCGCTACCCGGATTCGAACCCGGGACCTTTGATCAATGAGAAGCCAACACCTTAACCTCTCGGCCACGAGAGCCCTCCAATATCACGTTTAAAATATTAATGTCATCTGGAATTTATTTTATACCAAAGCAATTTGATATCGATGCTGAATTTTCATACAGGCATAAATCTTGAGCTGACGCTATAATAATACAAGTGATATAGCAGAGCAGGATCAACAGCTTAATTAATCGATCCCCCCCCCCCCAATAAAAAAAAGGAAAGCGAACAAAAAATCAACACCCCTAAACAATGTAATTAGAACCTAAGCCGATCAAAACAAATAATAGCAACCACAACAATTACAAACAACAAAACTTAAACAATTAAACTACACATATTTGGTCCAGTTATTTGTGTCCATCTTTGTTTTGTTCTATATATATATATCAGTCTTAACTCATCATCCGTATATAAAAAATAAGTGTTCTGCCAAGGTGATTCGAATGTTTCGTCGTCTACTTTCGTGCCCACTTTCTGCCCCTCCCCTCCGCTGGGCTCCAGACACTTTCTAGTGTTACTCCTCGCTCGTTTTACTAGTCTTTCAGCCACATCCCTGATCTTATGGTGGTAATTAGATCAAACTAGATCAAATCAACGACGAAAGGAAAACAGCAGAAATACAGAGCTTCGATCTACGACACTGACATGCAAGCACTGCGACAGAATCTGCGCTTCAAACATAGGAAGAATTAGCCATGAAAGAAGCTGCATGCAGAAAACCTTGAGACCATATTAAGCTAAATTGACCGTCTGCATAGACGAAAAGAGCCATATAATTAGATAAAACTTAGCCAAGCCTTCTCAGATAAGAGCGCAAATATCTCGGAGGTCCTGTGTGCAAATTGCGCACGATAAAGATCCCCTGGTGGTCCTAAACTCAATAAGAGTTGGCTTTGGCCGCGACCTGGTCAAAATAAAAATTAATCCCTACTAAACTGAAAATGTTCGATGTGTCCCGCGTTCTCATATGACCCATATATGCAGTTGCATTTGCTTGAACACCAAAGACAATAAATCATTATGATTTATAGTATTTTTTGGTAACACTAACAACAACCAAAAACAAAAAAGAATCAAAATAACATAGATCTAGGTAGATAGTAGTCCAATATTAGGCCTAATTTCCGTTATTTAGTTCCTTCTAAAATTGAAATCTCATCGTCGTCTTACTGTTACATTCCAGCATTGTCTTACTTGTTGCATCAATTAATTTAACATACAAAACCCTGCACATCGTGAAGATAGACGCAAAGAAAACTCGCCGATTCCATTACTGAATCATGTTCCAGCGTGTACGATATTTGCCTGCTTTCAATACCATGGTTCCAGCAGAGACCTCAGCTTCGAGTTCTTTGAAATTGAAGAGCTTCGGTTTTCTTCTTAATTTTTTCCGTTTTAGATAATGAAAATATTCAAAAGCTTGTATATCAAAGGGAAAAAAATCTTTTGCAACAAAATATATGTAATTTAGTGTAAAAAATAATAACAGAGAAGACTCAAGTCAATAATAATCTATTTTTTTCCTCTTTGAGAGAGAAAATTCACTGCTGTACTTTTAGTAGAAGAGCAGCAAATAAATATTTTTTTTAGAACTCACTCACCACTGTGCTGTCTCCTCTCTTTGGACTCAAAACCGTTTCCATTCTTGGTTTATGACTGTGGATTCGCCAGGCATGGATGCACAATGTTATAAGAGCTTTGCATCGGTTGTCTTTGGTTCTACAATGAAGAGTTGATTAGGTAGATCTAGATCTAGTTTCTGTGAACTGTAGGGTCTTGATCCTGACTGGACAACCCTGAACTTTTTCGAGGAACAGTCTGCTGTTGCTCTTTTGCTTTGTAAAAAGTCTGGAAGTCATTTTCGTCCAGTCTCAGACTCAGAGCGTCCGAGTGATCGATTCGAATTGGATCATCAGATAGATGAACTAGATCTAGATCTAGATCTAGTTCCATGCTCTGTGTTGGTTTTTTAAAAATTTTTAAAGCGACTTCTTGCTTATTGAATATGAAAAAGAAAGGATTATGCATCATTCATGGGCGTCTTTCCTCCAACTAAAACTAAACTGTGACTGGGAGGCAGTGGAGGGCGAGATTGGCTGAGATTACTGTGTAACTGAGAAGAGATCTGAATCACTGAATCAGGGAAAAGAAACATTTTTCAGTAGGCCTAACCTAGTCTCCTTACTTAGGAATCTAATTTTTGCAGTTTTGTCTTTGTTGCACCGTCCTGACTCAGCCATCAAAATTGAATTTCCAAGTTTTTGTGCAGAACTCCAACCACCAAAGTGTGGCCAGTTTAAAAAAAAATCATGAGTGATTCGAGGCGAAAACGTAGTGGAGGCACCAAATCAATTCGCATGGAAAATGGAGATCACCACAGGTCACAGCAGAAGGCTTCAAGCTCAAATCAGCATGGATCAACAAGGCCAAAGTCATCTCTGGTACACTTTTTTTATTAAGTGTTCTTTTGATTTTTGCTGTTTTTGTTTGATTTTGGACAATCAATAGATTAAATAGATAGAATCTATATTTAGACTAGATCTAGATATCTAGATCTAATTCTAGCCTCTATACAGATCTAGATATTAGATCTAAAATCTAGATCTAGATCTACCTCTTTTTTTAACTTTAAAAAAATTGTATCTTTATTTAGATCTAGATAGCACTACTTTGACAATACAGTTGGTGTGGCATTCAACGAGGTTGCCGGGACCGGCTTGTTGTCCTCGTTGGATCCGACCTCTCGTTGAACGCGACTGAAGACTAAGGCTAAAAAAAAAAGAAAGGAGTGACAAGTTATTGTACTATGCGATGTACCAATACCAGTATTAAAAACAGTTGTTCCCCCTGATGACGAAAATCTCAAACAGCACCAGTGTGCTCGTGTTTGAGCTGTGTTCTGACCGTCATTTCCGCATTTAAAAAACGAAGTGTATACAGACCCGGTAACCGGGAACAAAGTCACGAAGTATACAGACCCGGTAGGGGAACTCTTTTGTGATTTCGGGAAGTTTCAGACCTCAGACCCGGTCACAGAATTCTACACTTAGAAGTGTAGAATTCTGTGGACCCGGTAGAAATCTTTTGTGTGTGTGTGTGTGTGTGTGTGAGAGAGAGAGAGAGAGAGAGAGGGAGGGGGGGGGGGGGGTGCTAGCAAAATGTATATGATGACATGCCCCAGTTGGCAGGAGGGAACGAGAGAAAGATAGAGTGGAAAATAGGTGGGGACAAAGAAATACAGAGACAGACAAAGAAAAAGAGAAGGCAAGTGGTACACAGAGGAGAGAGAGAGAGAGGGAGAGAGAGAGAGAGAGAGAGAGAGAGGCTGCTCGATTGAAATTATGACATTGTAACTTGTTCTTTTCTTCGGATTGTGATTCCTCCAATTCCAAAACGGAGGAAAAACAATCGCTCATTGAAACGACATCCGCAATCTTCATTTAGATCTAGGTTAGCTGCGAAACTAGATGAAAGATTTATGTCTGTCTGCCTAGATCTAGACGCCATATAGATCTAAAAGAACCTAGGTCTACCCTGAGCCAAGAGGGCGCTGAAACTCTCCGAAATCACAAAAGAGTTTCCCTACCGGGTCTGTATACTTTGTGACTTTGTTCCCGGTTACCGGGTCTGTATACACTCCCTTTAAAAAAACAATTTTTTCCGGAACTCTTATTGTGTGGAAACACACCCTCTCACATCTAGATCTAGGCCTAGATCTAGAAATACATAAAGTGAAGGCGGGAGCTTGAATTTTCTGATCATGGGATGACATGGGAAGAAAAGAAATTTGAAGAAAATTAAGGTCTCGATCTAGACCTACCCATCCAGGAGTTCAACCAGTTTTATACAGCTCGCATCACGTTCCCACCCACCCCCTCCCATCCCTACCGTAGGCCAACCGAACCATCGCCCATTCTCGGGTTTGGGGCCCATATTAGGAGGCACACTAGATCTAGCAATACGATGTGTCAGGAATCGAGGATGGGCCTTGTGCTTCGCATGAGATGGAAAGAAAGTGAGAAAAATTCTTCGCCTTTGCGGCTGCTAATTGCTATTGTTTGGTATCGCGACCTCGTTGAAAGCGACTTCGGTCTGTTTGCAACCATGTTGGAGCTGACATATATTTACAAAGAGATATTTATAATAGAAAAAAAAAATCGGGGATTAAGGATTGCCTTGTTTGAGCCATATTCTCGTTGAATGCGACACCCACTGTATTATATATCTGATAATATATCTATACATCATGTAGGCCTGATATCTAATGTTTTGGCCTGTCCTTGTTTGATGCTTCTGTGCCAGATTGACACTGAGGTCTATGTTTCACATTTCAGTTACGGCAGTTAGGACATGTAATTTTTTTCCCTTAGTATAGATAGGTCTAGAGCTAGATCTATCGAGGTCTAGTCCAGTTTGTTACAGTACAGTTACAGTAGTCTAGTACTAGTAGGTTTTCAAAAAAGATTTTTCGGGGGAATGTCTACATTATAACTGGGGACGTAGTTTCAGTATCTACGTACACGGTAACCGGGTACTTAGTTTCGGTCGGAAGCCCCTTGAGCTAGTGCACAGTAACTGCTTCGCCCCCTTCATGACCTTGACTTCTTTCATTTTTTCCTTGCTTTTTGTGTGTTATGAGCGGAAAGTAAACAGTAAGCACAATGAGACCATTAGGGCCTCTTTCCCATATTTTGGTCTGGATCCAAAAAATAACAAGATGACACAGTACAGCTATGTATTTAAAATCAAGATTGAAAACAATTCTAATAAAAAACTTCTCTGCCCTAACCCCATCCATAAATAATCATTTTGCATTATAAAGGTTTAGTGTGTATAAAAATGTTGGAAGAAAAATGCATGTAAATGAAAAAGTTTCAAATATACCGTGTATATGGAAAGTTCATATTTAGGTCTATACATGCATACACATAGCCTACTTGTTGAGATATAATGAACTACTGTTATACAGTAGAACAAGGCTATATAGCGGGACTTTTGGTTCAAGAAGAAAAATCCAGCTATCGGCAAGTTTACGCTATAGGAATTAGTGTTGGGCGGTACCGGCAAAACCCAGTATGACGGTCCTTTCCCAGGCACTGGGTGTCAAGAACCGCCAGTATTGTACCGGTACAGGGAGTGACACCAAGAGCTGACGTCAGAGACCATGCATCTCGCTTCTAGCGCCACGATCAGTGCCGCCCGCATTCCCCCCCCACACACACACATATATATGCATCTCTCTGCCGCCTGCCCCACCTCACTCATCACTGGACTGGCAAATCACAACACTGCACTGCTGACTGCCTATTTGTAGCCCGCCTACAGCCCCCTATCGCCCTACCCCCTTCCCCCAGACTGTGCTCGCTTGACCCTCCTGCTGTGTGTCCAAGTTTGGGACTTTCCTTGCTCCGCTAAACCCAAGCATATAAGTTTAGTTATTAAAGTTTAGAAAAAAAGGGATTTCGGTATGTGCATCTAGATCTACACAAGGTGTCTATGACTGAACTTAGAGAAAAAAAAGGCAGTTGAAATGCCCATTGTCAAACAGTTACAATGTGGCCTCACACAATGCACGCATTGGAGAATATCGTAGTTCGCACAGTGCACACACAATATACTGCGAGTCACACAAGACAATACTTCTCTGAAGAATGAGGGTGGACCTTCCGGTTACCGTGTATGTAAACTCTGACTTAATTAACTCTGAGACTACGTGCCCGGTTACCGTGTATGTAGACTCTCCATATATATCCTGAATGATAATTCTTGAAATTGAACGAAGGTTTTGGCCTTTTGCTTTTATTGTTTATAAATATGTCTTTTCACTTTTAAGGCTTTTTAATTTTTGAAAGGCACAATTGAAATTGTAAGTGAATTCCTTTAACTTTGTCATAGAAGCATGCTGGCAAGGCAAAGGTAAGATGTAGCACTTTTATATGATTGAATTGTGTTGTAAGTGCTGTAAAACACGTACTAAATCAAAAGATGCTGATGAATTTTTAGTAAATTTTTACTTTTAGACCCACACACATGCAATATGCAGATGTACTGTTTTTGGCAAGTAAACCACCATAATTTTTGCTGCAGAACACACATGGCCACTAAAACCTTTGTAAAACAATTGTTTTCAAGAAAATATCAGACCTAGGCCTAATTGCAAAACATAAAATTATGGTGAAATACAGGGGGTGGGGGGCATGCCCCTCTGAACTCTCAGATTATTTTTAGGTCAAGGGGTGGGGGAGGCCCCCTGAAACCCCCCATTTTGTTAAAACTTGGTAAAATATAATATTACTACGCCATTGGTTGGTCCTATTGTATGTAGTTAGTATAGAAATATCTGTACATCTCATATATATATACTAATAATTTGCCGTGAATATACAGACAAAATTCGTAAAGCTGATAAAATATGAAACAAAAAAGTGCTTTAGAATCTGAGCATGAGATGGGTTCAGGGTCCATGAGTAAAATAATACCAAATTTTTCAGTTTCAGAATTATTATAGGGCTTTTTTTTATCAGTGTAAAAATGAAATCAAAATTTTCTTTGTGAAGGAATTCAGGAGCAACGAAATTGATAATGTAGATTAATGAGATTATAATGACCATCAATGGTGACATTGTCATTGAAGAAAATTTAGGACTGATTTAAAAAAAATTCCTTTATAAATTATGTAAAATGCACCAAGAACAGAAATTTCAATTTTTCCTTTCAGGGGCATCATCATGGCCAAAAGGTTGGTTATGATCATGTGCGACAGATAGTACAAGAAGAAGGTCGAACGGCTCGTAATCTAGTGCAGTACAGTGTTCCTGTATTGGAAAATCAAGGAGATTCAGGTACAAACTCAAGCTTTTTGAAAATAAAATTTCTTCTTTCTCTTAAATATTTGGTTATGTAAGAGGTTGAAAGTTTTGACGGCTTTGTCTAGAGACCGACTGATTGGAAGAAAATAGAATAATTTTTCGTCTTTAACGGGCATTTAGAAAAGTCAGTGCATTCTATTCTCTGCTTTTCTCTGCTGGGGTATACTGTCTGCTTTAATGTGTGCAGCTGAAATACAGTCAGTATGCTTTAAAATGTATTTTTACTCGAACACTACTCGTGGGAGGTTGAATTTGAGGTAATAATCATGTACACTCATGTGTGTATGATGTCTAATTTGTATGTCACATGTGTCACAAGTGGTGGAATCAGGTGCTCGTCAATTATCGGGCACATGGGAATATTGGTGTCATCTTAAAGCCTGTTCATTTGCCTTCCTTTTGGGGAAAAAAATATCCATCTATGCTGAATTTTCATAGAAGTCGAAACATTTGCGATTGAAGCAGGTTGTAAAATTAGCGAGAAAGTGGCAGCCAAAATTTGTTAACTTCCATAGCCTAAGAGTCCTTGGAAACTGACAATTTACATTTTTTGTGCCTTTAATCAACTCAATGTTTTTCAGGAAAATCCACACAAAAATGTGTTTTGAAACTAAAGAGACATAAATGGTATTGAGCCAAAAACAGAAAATCGGCCCCCAAAAAGCCGATGTCTTTGATTTCCTTATTTTGACGAGCGCCTGATTTCACCACGATGTCTCACATATTAATGTGTACATTGTGGGGATATCAGGTGCTTGTAAAAAAAATGAAATCTGAGAAACTGTCATTTTTCAGCACATTTAGCAATTCTTAAAAAAAAAATTTTGTTTGTCTGTTTGCTTGTTTTTTCCTCAACAACTTTTATGTCCATTTGAAAACACATTTCTGTATGAGTTATACTGAAAACTATTTGTTGATCAAAGGCACACACACAAAAAAAAATTAGGCTAGTTCAAGTCAAGGAATAATAAAATGTATGATTTGTAATCTCTCAAAATACTTGAATTTTTTGGGTTGACTTTTTAGACAAAGAACTGTAGCAGAAAGTGAGATTTTTGGAGACCATTTTAAGAATGAGTAGTGTTTTTTACTTTTAATAAATTTATAGAGGGATTTGGTATGTTTAAGCTTATAATATATATTTTTGGGTGTTTTGTGTCCACCATTTGAACCAAATAAGGATATTTCTTGGTTTATAATAGGGTTGTCTTTACCACTTGAAAATTTGTCTCACACAAAGTGCTGGATAGACCTCTTCTTGTAAGTCTCAGGTGGTTCGAAGTTCCATGTTAAAAAATCAGAATTTGTTCCTCTTGCTTTAGGATGAAGTTTCTTTTTATATCATATAAAAGGGTTTTAAGTATTGTATTCAAATTAGTAAATTGTATAGTAGTCTGTCCATTGAGCAAATATGGGGGCTTGCTTTTGGTCTCTCCTTTAGTTTTATTTCTCTTCTTCCAAGTCATGCTTTCTTTAAAGGGACTTTGCTCTTTTGCAGTGAACGTAATTTATAAAAATGACAAATGGTTCTTAATTTTTAAGTTGTTAGTATTTAAACCATTTAGAAAAGCATCCAAAACGCTTTTCTGACGTATTCATTTTTACAATGTTTTGAAGAAAATAAAATAAATTGGATTTTCAATCTTTTTTTTTTTTCTTTTTTAGCTCCTCGATCTTCAAGTCAGCAGAAGCGGGCAGGGTCAACGTCTCGTACTTATTCGCATCAGACACCACCTCCTGGGTCCCGAATACGGCACAGGTCTCTCTCGGAAATTGCAAAATCCCCAAGGTCTGATACTGGGTCGAAGAAAAATGACCTTAGAGCTCGATACTGGAAGTATATGTTTGATAACTTCCAGCGAGCTGTGGACTCAATATATCAGACATGTGAACAGGATGAAAGTGTTGTTGAATGCAAAGTAAGTGATATCGTTAATTTCTTTGCACTGCTTTAAATAAATAATCCTTTCTACTAAAGGAGAGCTCCAGTGGATTGGTCATTTTGAGATTTTAAAATTTTTGTTTTTATAAGGGTTTGTTTGCATAAAGCTAGAATTGTATCATAATATTGGTTTCTTTTCTATGCAATCCCTTAAAATAGTCTGGATGTGAAAAAGTATTCGGTGTTTCTCCTTTTAATGTGACCTTTGTACCTATGTACTGTTGAGGAAAATTTTCAACCCTTTGAATATTGATAGGGATTTAAGTGTGTAACTCTTTTTCTGAAGATGTGCCACTCCCATACTAAGCTGATTTACAGTAGTTAATATTCAGCCTGATTAAAAAGATCTGAGTCTGTTGGAACTAAATTACAGGTTACTCAACTTGTCATAAGGTTTGAAAATTGTAATATTGTAAAATAAGAACATTGCAAAATTTTCTTGACAACTTTTTGAATGCTCTCTTTCCAGGAAGTGATCATGATGTTGGAGCAAAGCACGAAAGATTTCAAGGCTCTGATTGAAAGACTGATCATGCTGAAGGCATATGAGGACTCGGCCAAGGATGGAGATCGGCCTGCAGCAGTGGCATGGGAGGTTCGGAAAATGTCACCAAACAAACATGCCCCAAGCTCTCCTGGACCTGGACAGACACAGTGAGTTTTGAGCTCTCTCTTTGTGCTAAACATGCCTATCGAAGATTCCATGTTGAGACTTCTAAAAGTTATTATTATCATTGTAATGGGGGAAAAATGCATAATTTCTGATGACAGTATTAATATTGAGTGAAAAGGTGACAGCTAAAAAGCAGTGCAGAGCTGAATTAATCTTTTTCTTCCAGTTAGAGAAATCTGTTTCTCATTGATGGTATTACAAAGGCATTAGATCAATTGCTTTTTTTTTTTTTAGACGTGTGTGTATCTATAGTGCTCGTGGGATTAAAATGTGTCCGAAAGTACTTCTTGCCTCTTTTTTCTTGTTCTTATAAATGTTTTATGTTCAGAGTGCATTTTTTGAAGGTTTAAAAGTACACATCCCACTGAATTCCTGCCTAAATAGGATCCGCAAAGATACTCCACCCGGCTGCCGGTTGTGTGACTGCCAGGATGAAACAGTATCACACCACCACTTTGTCTGCCCTGCACTTTGCAACCTGCGTAGCACCTACCTACCTGCCTCCCTAGACATCGGAAATACTCTATACAGCGACTAAACACAGCTGATAAAAACCTGTAAATTCTTTGCCATATCGACTGGCCGAAGGGCAAGAACTCAAATTGCCGCTGGATCGGAAAAGTAAAATATAGTAAAGTAAGATTTAAAAGTTTACCTTTACTCTCTCTGTTGTAATTTAAAATAAAATTTTGAATATTGTTTTACCCTTTCTCCATAGATCTCTCATGGGCGTGGAAAGGTCTGGGAACAGTTGGGCAGACAAAGTGAAGGGGTCAAGAGCGCTGAGCTTCAGTGCCTCCCAGTCGCAGTCCCAGCCTGCCCCAGCAGAGCCCACAAGACCTGCCATCTCCAGCAGTGCTAAAGTCGACAGCAAAGGGGAAGAAACAGTGAAAGCAGCCAGTGCCCCGGCCACTGCGGAAGGTTTGATTTTTGATTTTTGATTTAGACCTGCATGTTTGCCGACAATTGTCTGAAATCCGACAATCGCGACCCGACCCGCGGACCAGCCGATGCTATCGCTAGGCCCACCTGTATCAGTCAATGTGCGAAGTGCGAGGCCTGGCTGACTGCCAGCGCCTTTTTTTTCTCCCGTCGGCTTTGTCGGCACTTTCGTTATCGTGCCGACGTCGGCGTTTCCGACATAATTGTCGGAACCTGAGTGGAAATGCGAATACGAAAAAGGACGACGACCTAAATTATCTACTTTCAGTTTCATGCTCGAGCGGCCATTTTGAATTTCGTTTTGTTGACTAATTCAATTGTTCAGATCGTGTGGATTCATTCAAGTCCGACTCACTTGTTCTAATAGAATCTAGATTTATATAGATCATTATAGACCTCAATGGAGGATTCATATTCCAATTCTATTGTGTCAAACCCTATTATAGGTTGTGCTGTAATATTAATGTTGGTAAAAAGCATTTCATCAGGTGCGTGAATTATTTATTTATTTAGAATCTAGACTCAGCTGAGCCCCTCTGTTCGGAATCGGATGCGGATTTCTAGTTCAAGGCCTATTCCTATTCACTTGTTCTACAAGATCTAGATCTAGAGCTAGATTTATTTAGATAACTAGATCTATATGGAGGATTCATATTCCAATTCTATTGTGTCATTGTATCAAACCCTATTATCAATATGTAGATGTAGGCCATATTATGTTCCTTGTAATTGTAAGCCTTGTTTGTTTTGGAGTGTGGTCTTTTAATTTAAAATATTTTAAAAGTTTGGACTTGTGCTGGCCTTTTTACATGAGGCTCGTTGCAGGTTCTTTTTTGGGGTAGGCCTAAGGGTAGGGTTAGGTCTCTTCTTTATTGTGTTTGTTGGGGTGGTTGCTCGTTACTCGGAAGTCCTTCATTATGACACCCACAGAAGCTCTTAATTGAGGGGGGGGGGGGGGTTGCGCAAAATTTTCAGACAATCTGGTTGAGGCTCACATGCAGGTCTATTTATTGTGTTTATGTTGCTTTCTTTTCTTTCCTCATTCGATAAATAATACTCCAGGAGCCCCTCTAGATTTGTATTGTACTTTTTGTTTTATATGAGACTGTGTGACTCATGAATGATGAAGCTTCTGGCATCACTTGCTATATAGAAATGCGGACATGTGTGTGCCAGGGGCAGGACTAAACTGTTCAGTTTAAAATCAGTAAAAATATAGATATTGAAATAACACTTTGTAGATCCTTGTGAGGAAATTTAGTTCACTGTGGCATGCAAAAGTGTATACATACAGTACTTAATCAAAATTATGGAATACACAACATCACATCGATACAGACAACCAACTCCCTGTTGCTGGTTGCCACTGCTGGCTTTTGAGATATTGTTACGTTTCTTGTTCAGGGAGTGTCTTGTTCAGGGATGCCACAGTGGCCATGCACCTGAATGGCATGGTCAATGTGTGATGCAGGATGAAGAAGTGCAATTTTCTCTAATTCGCTTCTATATTGTTGCAGGATAAGACTTCCAGCTCACATTGTATGGGTATTATTTTGGATTATTAATATGATATAGTGGAGGCCATTTCTTCATACAATTAAAGTCTTTAGATCTTTCTCAGAGACTTTGAATAACAAAGACTGTTTATATTTTCGACCTCAATGAGTCTGAGCTTTTTACTTTTGTTGTACAATTTTATACAAGATTTGCCACGTTGACCCAAAAATAAGTACCAAACTTTTTTGTGTGTGTTATAAATCGCTTATTAACTCTACCTTGGAATGAGAAATGCAGTGTCAAACCCAATAAATATTTTGGTGTTTTGAGATTTTTTTACCTCTTTGCAGACAGGTCATACTCACCATAGATGTCCGTCTGAGCATAGGAGATGAGGTTCCCTGTGTGTGCTGATGAAGTTCACAGAAAAACCTTGTGTTGTGGTTGAAAGTTAAAGAGATCAGTGTTTGTGTTCATGCAAAATTATTATGGGTGCCCTACAGTTTCTTTGTTTGTCTTAGATTTTTATTTTCTGTAGATACTGGTAGATTCTCACATTTTGAAGTTCAGAATACTAATTCTGTCTCAGTTGTACTACTAATGATGGAAATGTTTAGTGGATTATAAATTACCTTTGTACTGTTAACGTGTTACTGTTTTATGTGCAGACTCAATGGATGAAGGCGGATGGGAAACAGTCCAAAGAGGTAGACTACGAGCAAGATACTCTCCATGTCAAAAATCAACAGAGAACCTGGCTGCCAATCCTAAGAGTGCGAAAAGGAACCTCATGAGATCACTGTCTGTACCTGACCAGGCCAATGTCAAGGCTTTAAAAAATAAGGAAGACAAGACTCAGACTAATACCTTGAGAGCTGTCTCAGAAAAACATTTGCTTGAAGCAGCCGTACGTGAACGAACTCACAGTAAAGACAGCGAGAAGGAAAATGTTCCAGAGACAAATGTAGAAGGGAGTGTAAAAAGCACACTTCAGTCGAACTCTATGTCTTTGGCTTCCCTTGCTCAAATAATGGATATTGGTCGCCTTGATCTGGGGAAAAGTTTTACTGATTCTATTGAAAAGTGCGTCAAGGATCCATTGGAAATTCAACTGGATGATGTGAGTAGTGGTTAGAAGGTTGTATTAATAGTTGTGTGTGGATTTTGTTTTAGATGAACAGAGAAGATTTGGCCAAAGAAACTGTTACCTTGTTTTAGACACATGTCTTGCATAGATAGCTGCTTACTCCTCTTAAAATCATCTTGTGTTATTGCTTTCTAAATTCTGAGGAAATTATTCTTATGGCTACCAGTGTTTCTATTTTGTGATTCATGAAGGTTTAAAAAAAAAAAAGTTTTTCAAGTAGAAAGGAGAAAAAAAAAATAGTGTTCCTAGACAACCATCTTTCTTTTCTACCAGGATTTGGACCGTGTTTTGGATGAAGAATTCCAGTTGAGTAGCCAGTTGCAGAGGGCCCAGGAGTCAGCTTTAGCGTATGCCGTGCAGGAAGAAGAGAACTGGCTGAAGGAATTAGCCAGAGAACAAAATACACAAGTGGAAGAGGACATTGATTCTGCCAGTGACTTGGGGGTAAGAGACAGAGTCTTGCAGATTTTCAGTACAAAAAGTTTGATGTTTCCTTTAAAACTGGCAAACCCCCCCCCCCAAAAAAAAAAGAGCACCGTCTTTGCCTTGTTTCAATGCAGATTTGAATGCCAATAAGTGTAGCATTTTTAACCAAAGTTTCTTCTAGTAGAGAGGAGAGAAGATATGTGCTGCTTTTGATATATTTATATTTTTTTTCCATAATTATTGAAAAAGGGACAGAAAGAATATGGACCAGGACAGGATTCAGGTTTCTCAGATTTTTATGCTTTGTGGAAGTTGGGAACATATGACTTTGAAAAATGAAGTTTCATTTCAAGTACATAATTTTTCCCTGAGCTAGAAATAAGTTTCATCTGTCTTGTGAGTATGCTCTGTGAGTATGCTCTCATGTACATTACAAGTGCGTGGTACTGGGGTTATGCTTGGAGTTTACATGAGTCTGCTTTTATTGCTATTGTTAATTTTGTTATGATTTTATTGAATGTTTGTGATTTACTTTTGTGTTTGCTCTTCAGACTGATTAAATCTATGTCAATTTTTTGTCAGTTTCATTAACTGACTTTTGAAATATTTTATTGGTTATGTAAGGCATTTTGATTGTAGGGTTTCTTTGGGATTACTTGAGCCTAATGATTTCATAGACTGAAGGAGAGTGGATAGTTGGTGGGTGCTCTAGTGTGGTTTGTTCCTTCTTTTCCAGCAGACATCTATCGTCCTTATCCCTGCTCCTTTTTTGTGTTTGTTACTCTTTTGTAACACCTGTAATCTTCAGCACTTTTATGATTTTATTGTGTTGCAAGTGTCGTAAAATGTTAACTACAAAACAGACGGAAAGAGACATTTTCTTTTCTTTCTGAGGCTTGTGCAGAATTCTCCTTTCAGTAATGACATGATTTCACCTTAAGTATTGGCTGTAAAGATTTATTTCTTTAAATAAATAAAAATGTCAAGAAATCTCTTTGAAGGTAAACAGTTATTTTGTTTTTTCTCTGTTTATTTTTATAGAATACAAACAGCTCTCTTGAGTCCTCTCAGCCTGTTATCAAAGATTGGGATGCACTGGTAGCTTTGCATGAAGGTAAGCATTTTATAAATGAAACTTGTGAAAATTCTTTCATATTTGATCGGCAAACTTACTCAAAAAGTGATGTATGTCGAATACATGTAGTTTGAAGGTTACTTTTGTTTTGGCTTAATGTTTGTACGTATAGTGGTCCTGTATTTGTGCGTATCTTTGCAATATATATTGAAAATGAGTTTTTATTTCTTTGTCCACTCTGGTGTGGACATGTGCACAAAAGTACTAAGGAAACAAATGTGAAATTATGAAAAAAAGTTTTTAAAAATTAAAGTAGCTCAGGATGTTTCTTTGATTTCAAGAATCAAGTTAACTCTTTTCGTTTTTTCCATGACAGACTATGCTTTGAAAGATATGAGAAGGATTTGTATGTGAGAATTTGGTCGATGCTTAACCTGTGTCTACTTTGTTTCCCTCCCTTTGGTCACTAGCTGAGATGAAGGTGTCCAGTGAAATGTCTTGGGGAGATTTGGTGGTGGAAGCAGATGATGCCAGAACTCCTGGCCATGGTGTCCACATGCATGAAAAACTGTCCTCACCGTCTAGGAAAAGGTAAGAAATGTTTATCACTTAGGGAAGGTGGTTGGTGATGATTTTATTATTTTGAATTGAAACATCCTAGACAATACTGTTGCTAGATGAAGGATTGCTGTTGAAAGTTATCAATGGACTTTCATCAGTATGATGTGAAAAATGCAAAATAACTGCTGATTAAGGTCTGTCCGGTGAACCATGGTTGCTGAATTGAATTAAAAAATTGTAATCTGTGAGGTCATAACGGACAATTTTTGTTGTTGTTATTATTTGTATTGTGATTATTATTACAGTGTTCTTTTGTGTAATTAGGTCACCCACAGAGTCAAGAAGAAGACATGAGGAGAAGCAAGCTAAGGCTCAAGAGCTCAGGGAAAAGCTCATGCAGGAAAAGGCTGAAAGACTCAGGGATTTGTCGAAAAAGGTACTGTCAGGGTCCCCACAGGGTCGGGAAATCGGGAAAAAGTCGGGAATTTTGAGATGGGTCGGGAGGTCGGGAAAAAGTCGGGAATTTTGTGATGGGTCGGTAAGTCGGGAAAGTATAGGGCCTGTGTAATGTGCAGCTATCTAGACTGTATGGTTGATGAATCCTAAAGAAGAAATGTAATTGAACCGCTGTGACAGAAGTGTATGTGTGACACCGAGGCTCGATCGTGAATAATCAAGATCTGCTTTCGTTACCGCCCAGAAATTTTCCGCTAATAGTCTGATAGATAACGCAACATTTGTAACATGCAGGTTGTGCATTATGAACGCTGTGTCGCCTTGAAAATAAATCAATATTAAAAATTGCTCTCTGCTGTCGCTTGTGGAAAAAAAAAAGAAAAAGAAGTTATACAAACGTCTTGACAGGTTCGCCCTCGTGACCGGTCAATGAACCTGTGAGTACCGGCGGTCTGAGCGCTGTGAAGTATAGGACTCCTTTATAAGATACACTCGTGGAAGGGGATTGGGGGGGGGGCTGAAGGCAACGCTAGAGGACAAAAACTGAACTTGGAAGCAAATTTTTAGCATTTTGATTACTACTTTAGAGCTCTCTGCAAAGCGCGCGTTGGTGCAGGCCTTGTGTGGAATCAGGATCCATCATGCCTTGTTATTGAACTAAAGTGTTCGCATTTCATTGGATGGGGTGATTGTAATTTATATCTATATTTTATTAGCTTTCTGTTCAAGATTGGCAGATTTTCAGTGTCACTGCATCTTGCGCCCCCCCACCCCCCAGTTCTTACACCTCTCACACTGAATAGGTGTACTTGAGCCATTCTAGTTATTACTCTACTTTGAGTTGCAGCAATGGTTTTCGTCTTCATGTTTATTATATGAATCAGGACACCCAGACTGGTTATTGACAGTCGATTTTCTAGTTCTAGGTCTTTTTTTCAGGCTTAAAACAGGATTCATTTTTTTTATATAGGGTCTATAGTTTGTTATGTTGGCTAATATGATGGTGGGAAAATATAAATAAGTAAGAACAGATTGAAATACCAAAGTCTCTCAAGATCCCAGTGCCACACTGACGTGTTGTTAACTGGATATAATGTACCTACATGTGTGTGTGTGTGTGTGTATTCACAAACATATACATGTATTATATTAGATATAAATGGAGCACACGCTTTCATTGTTATGTAACGTGTTCCTGGAAAATGGATGATGCCCCTCCCTTGGAAAATTGAGAAGCTGGTTTGGCAGTCACCCAGTATTATAGTCATCTATTGTTTGAAGACTATACTACAAAATATACATTTGCATTCATTTATAGACATTTTGACTTTTTATCTTTGATAGATTGGCTTTTTTGGGGATCATTCTTGACGCGCAGCGGCCTGATTTTTCCATCGAATTGGGGTCTTGAAAAAAAATTGGGGGTCTTGAAAAAATATTCCAGGATTTGGTGGGGACCCTGTACTGTCTGGTTTCTTACTGTTTTGTTTTCTATAAAAAAAACAATTTGCGACTGATACTCCTGACCTAGAATATTTTCTCTTGTTCTCTGAACTGATTAGGTAATGATTTTTCTAACAAATCCACTTTTTGTCCATGCACAGCTGGACCTGCTGTTCGTCGGTTTATGGGAGGATTTCATAAACTTGAAATGCGTCTTGTGTGTCTGTGTGTAATTTTTACAATTAAATTGCACAGATCGCACATTTCTCTCCCCCCTACCCCTCCCCCGCTGTAAAATAAAATGGCTCTGAAATTTTGTTTTCATTTTTGGCACTTTTTTTCTCTGTCTTGTGTGGCCTTGTTATATTTCTGCATTGTTGTTTCATTGACAAGTGATATGGCTTAAGAAAAAGTTTTTGTTTTTGTTTAGGTAGAACTTGTTTCATTCTGCCTAGGAAACAAGTTTTCCTCTACCAATTTTTACGGAGCTCTGCTGAAAGAACTGATCCTGTTGTATGCCAACATGATGTGATCCTTAACAGTTTTATTAGTCAATCAGCTTTCTTTGTAATGCAGATCCTTGGATGTTATTTTTGTCATTCGTCTTACTTTACCTTGCACTGTTACTCAACCATGTTTTTATTTGACCTATTTCTCCTCAACTAGCGGGTGGTTAAAGGGCACCACTGGTAAGTCCTACTCCCTTACATTCCCTCTGTTGTTTCTGTCTGTCTGTCTGTCTTACTTTTTCCTGCACTAAATGTCCATTATTATGTCGATGTGCTTCTTTTTACTCAACAACAGCTTCTCAACTTGAACACCCCTGCCCCTGCTCCGCACTATTCCGTTTTTATTGTTTCAGGTGGCAGAAGTGCGGGCGTACAAGGAAGAGCTGATGCGGCAGAGTAAGACACTGCTAGAGCACAAACTTCAGCGCGCAGAGGAGAAACGCCAGCTACAACTCAAGTTGAAGGCCCGTAAAGCCCATGAGGAGGAGGCTAAGGTTTGTGGGCTCAATGCTGTTATGGTTTTGTGAGTTTTGTCGTGCGAGAGTATGTTGAGGATCCAGGATATTCTCAATGTTAGTCACTCATATCGTTTTATCTACAGGGGAACTGTGCCAAGACCTTTTTGTGGATTGTCAACAGAGATGATATTTTAAAAAATATTTTTGGTGTATTTTTGGAATTACTGTCTGTGATAACAGATGTCATTATGAAATGAGGGGTTATGGCAATTTGCTGGCTGTACTATCGTCTTCACATTGCTTCCTGACTTACCTATGTCAAGCTGGTTAAGGGATGAATACATGATGCAAGTGGTTTGAGTGCAAATAAAAATGGGAGTGAGAAATTGTCAATGGAGGTCACAAAGGCCGGCTTCAAATTGTGCTTTGAGTATTCCAGTCTCCCCTCCCCCTCCTCCCCATGACTAGAGCAGCCACGCCCAGCCTTATATGTTGTACTCTTTCTTTTCAGTCTTGTCTTTTCTATTGTCTAGCTGCAGTTTTTGTGAGCATGCGTAAAACTCTCGTCTGTCCACTGTCAGCATGCTTTTATTGGAGCTTCTTTTTGTTGGAAAACTACGCTTTTATTTGCAAGTTGTAATATTGTTTTGGGCATGTAAAAAATCTACATAGCTATAAAATGAAGCATATGATTGAAGTAGGTTACATAAAGTGCACAGACCAGGTTAATTAACCGCATTTATTTGGCGCTTGTGGGTGTCAAAAGAAGCCTGATGTGCTTATGTGACCAATCTTTTTGGTAGTCTGTCTGTAGGTCAAATAAACCGGACGGAATCCGTTGACTGTATTGTGTGAGCACTCTACTTTTTTATTTTGTGATTTTATACATGTAAGCTGGATCTATTTTTGTTTTTGTTGTAAACACGTTGCTTTGAACTCCTCTTTGTCTGGTGGTGGAATAGATTTTTATGCTTTTACTCTCTCAGGATGACAAATGCACCTTGCCATATATGTATCTGTAGCATGCTCATAAAGCCAAGCCATTTCATCCCCCCCTCCCTGTACAGGCCAACGAGATAGCCTTTATCAACAGTCTAGAGGCCCAGAACAAGCGCCACGACATCATGTCCAAACATCAGGAATCTGAAGCCAGACTCCATGATTTAATGGTATGCCATGTGTTGTATACTGCCAGTGTAGTCAGTATGCATTTGCTGTTTAAATTGCTTTGTTGTGAAGGGTTATCAGGGTGTCTGAGAAATGTTGTCATAAATATTTGCTGCTGCCTAGCCTTTGTGGTCATGTTTGTAACACAAGTTCTGTAGAGACTGGTTGAGACATTTTTTGTTGTTGCTTTTTAAAGTTCTTTTCGTGAAGCTTTGTAGCATGCAATGTTGTACTTGCACCCCTTCTGCTCTGCTACTTTGTGCTTCACAGTGATGGTTACGGCTGCGTGGATGCCTTGAGCTGCTACCTGTAGGTCTTTGACACCTGTGAAATATAGGACAGAGAAAATGGAATATTTGCTTATTAGACTACTTCCAGTTTGTGAAGGATATGTTGAAGACATAGTACATTAATCTGATAATTACTGTAGGTACTGTACTTGTCCTGAGGCAAGATTAGTCACAAGGTAGGTACTAATGTAAAGCTGAGATCCTTTTCAACCTATGCCCGAAAAGGGGAAAATGTTTTTATGTAATGTAATTTCAAAATGTAGAAACTATTGAAGGGATGAGTTAATTCTTAGTGTACATCCCACTGAAGAGATGAGATCAGTTCAAACTTGACAGTTTTATTTAGGGATGACTCATGTCGTATATAGTGGCTGCTCATTTTCCCCTGCCTTTACATATTAATAGAGCTTAGTGATATACCTTTGCAAAATTGTATTGGGAGATACATTTTTCATGTCTTGATAAATCAACTGTCTGGGCAGTGCTGTAAAGATACACAGATGTTTTGTTCCATTTCTACTGATTGCCTATGATAGAGATGGGGTCTCATCATGTGGATTGCTACTCTTTTGTTTTAGTAAGCATTTTACAGCACTTGCAACACAGTTTGGTCATATAAAAATTGAAGATTAGGGGTGTTACAATAGAGGTAGTAACAAACAGGAAAATGAGAAAGAGGGGAGGAGAGATAAGGACGATAAATGTTTGATAAGAAAGAAGGAGCAAACCAGGCTAGAGCACTCACCAACCACCCATGAAGGGTTCTCTGAATCCCAAGATCTCCATGTAAAGAAAAAACCAGGGTTATGTTTTCAGATATGCTACTACTAAACTTGTTTGTCAATCGGATATTATGTAAATGTAGTTGAGTTGAATATATATATATTTTCTATTTTAGAATTATGTTTCATTGAGGCTGGTGTGAAAAAAAGCTATGTGAAATCAAGTTTGAGGATGAACTAAGTTTTTTTCAATTTTGAAATAAAGTTTTATGCCAACTTCAGTTGTCTAGGTCTTATGAATGCTCTTCAGCTTTTTTTTGGAACAATCTATGAATGTCATTGTTTTTTAGGGAAACAGTACTGTCCCCTTTGTTATTAATGTTTCATAGATATATTCCCACTGACTTGTCTTGTGTTTTACTTGACAGTGCAATTGTGAATGATTTTGCATCTAATGTTATAAAGTTAAATGTGGAATGCATATTATGATTTTTTTGTATGTGAACTCGGCTGCATGTTTTAACCCATTCTTAAATTTTAGATCTTTCAGGCATTGTTGTCATTGTTCAGCTGGAAAAGAACAGCTTTGAATATAGAGATATGTTTCACAGATCATTTGTTGAATACATTTTTATGAATTGATGAAAGAGTTTACTGGCTTTGAAGACTGTTTTCCAGGGTTCAAAATTAGGTGTTAAGGAAGAGCATTAGACAGTTTTGAATGAAAACTTAAGATTGTATGTCATTCCATATGGGAAGAATGATTTTGCATTATTATGTTAAGGTGAATTCCCTGTGCTTTTTGTTGCACAGAAAAATACAACTCGTCAACTCAGAACTATTTTGCCCAAAGTGTCTCTTTACTTAAGTACACTTTGGACAAAATAGTTGTGAGGCGACAAACTGCTACAACCACCTTCCCCCCTCCTCTAAAGAAATATTGTCAAGGAGTAAGCTGTTTGTGGTGTGGCCAGTCTTCTGAGGATCCAATTCCTTTATAGCCTTTGGTTCCTTGTAATGGAAGAAAGTTGATATTTTTTATGACTGTGTTTCAATACTGTTTGTCTAGTGGAAGGGATGAAGCCAAATGTAATGGATTTTACATAATCAACCTTTTTCTTTGAAGAGCCTTTAGGATCCTTTTGAACTATTTTGAAGGCAAAGTACTTGTTGAGTAGTTTGCCAAAACGAAGGTCAAAAAAGAGTGAGAAAACTATAATTAATGAAGGCTTATTATTCGGTAGATTTTTTGGTGGGTTTTCTATTGTTATGGACATTGCAGCTCCTGCTTTTGAGCAGGGGAAGTATTTATTTTTATGTAATCCACTTGGGACGATCAGAACAAAATGAACTCCTTCCTATTTTTTTCTAAACAGGAAGAGCGTCAGCGCAAACTTGAGGAGAAACAGGCCAAGGAGGCCGCAGTGGAGGAGAGGAGGAAAGCCCTTGAAGCTGACCGCAAGGCCCGCCTCATGGAGATGCAGGAAAAGAGGAAACTGCGGGATGCGAGGATCGAACTGCAGCAGCAGGAGAAGGAGAAAGAACGACTGGAGGCTGTGCGAGCTAAGGGAAAGTGAGTACAGAAATTTGGACAAGTTGTAGTTTTAAATTTTTCATTATGTTTTTTTTCTGTTCAGCATACTGTCACATAAACATGTTTTGTAAATGCTGTATTTGCTCTTCTTCTTTTATACTGTTTGTTTTATTTTATTTTATTTTTTTGTGTGCCTTTATTACTTTGACTGTATGAGATTGCAGAATTATTTATTTTTTGCAAAGTATGATAACTCAGAGGATAACTTAATAATGTATCACTTTTTGATTACTGCCAATGTGTCTACAATTTTTTAAAAGTAACCCCCCCCCCCCCCCCCTCCCACACACACACACAAAACACACTTGCCGTGCTTTTAAGCTCATTTCTTTAGATTATTGTTAGTCATCAAGAAATCTTAACTGTATCCCCAGGGAGAGAGAGGAAAGGATTGCTGCGTTGAATGCCATGCAGGAGGCTCAGAAGCAGGAGCTACAGAAAAAGATACAGCAAAAGGTTGGGACTTGTGCTCTTCTTTCTTTGTTTATACAACGTACATGATTTCCTACAAAAGAATGAAAGTGTGAGAAAATGAATGATGTGCGTTTGTTGTGTGCATTCATATTATTTTTGTGCAATGTTTGTTCTCTCTAAGTCCATGGAAAAGGTTCAGGAGTCCAAGAGGGTTGGGTTTTTTATTCTGTGAGTGTGCCGTTTAGTATAAAGAGTTCATTACTTTAAAAAAGAAAGAGAAAAAAGAAATATTGGTATCAAGGTTTGCTGGTAACCCATTTAAAGATGACGATGCTTCTGACAAAAAGAAAACGTTTTGATTGAATTCATTGGTCCATCAATGTTCACAGATCTAAATTTTTGGGGCAATACAAAGCCTTCCTCAAAAGTTAATCAAAATTGTTCCAATACTGTATACACTGCTGAATAAGCTCTTGGCAGCCCCAGGTGATGTTTGTTTCCATTCTTCTGCTCTCACCCAGTTGTCTGTTTTCAAGGTCAAAAGGATTGATGAAAAGTAATACTCACGAATGTTGTTTGTATTTCATGTCTTCAGCAAGATGAAACCACCCAGCGCCATGAAGAATATCTTCAGCACATCCGTGATAGGGCCTTTGAGATGACCATCATGAGACATTCTACAGAGGACCACAACGACGCCCCAAAACTGACGCCTTACGACAGGAATAAACTGTGCATCATTTGCAATGTTTTGGTGAGTATGTAGTTCAAGTGCTGGAATTGAATGTGGGTGGCTATGACCTCTACTTAGTGTCCCCTTTTTAAACTTGTGACTGACCCACTTCCTGGTAACAGTCCCTATTTCATTCATGGCCACTGCGAAGAAAAGAATGCCACCCTGTTTTTGAAATTGAGGGGCCGGTGAATGTTCTTTAGACAATACTTCTTGAGCGCATCTTGTCTTTCGCCAAAATATGATTCTCAGCATATTCTTACACACGTAATGTCTTTGCACAGTTGTGTATGACAGGTGATACTTCACCAGGGTAATGACACCAATGTTTTTTTAAAGTGGGAAAAGTAATAGGTAGGGCTTAACCCAGTTGTTCATATATCCTTGGTGCCCTCAGCCTTTTTTTTAATACCATGAATTAACGTTTGATTGATTTTGTTTTGTCTCGTTTTTTTTTAAACTGTGGAAGCTAACAGTTAATTCCAAAACAATCATGTTAATTTTATATGCCATTTCTTAATCATGTTGACTGAAAATGTAATTGTTGTGCCTTTCAGATTCCTTCAGAAGTTTATCTTTTAAGTCATTTGAGAGGGAAGAAGCACCAGCAAGCATTGAGAGACAGCAACTCTGGAAAGGAAATGACCAAACAAGAAATTGTGAGTTTTTGGAACTGGATATGAGGTGCATTTTTGGAAATACTACATATACTCAGGGTTCCCGCGGCCTCCTTGAATTCAAGGAGTCCTTGAAAACTGCTTGAATTTTATTCAAGGAAAAATCTCCTTGAAAACTTCTTGAATTTTGCCAGATCGGACAGGAACACGTGTACATGGTGACTGCCAGGCCCCGGGAATCCCGGGGGCCCCTGGAATTACCCTGGAATTTGAAAAAAAAACCGCAGAGATCCGGGATGCAACGGTAATTTGAAGAAATCTGTAAATTGCTCCGTGAAAGACCCGAGGAAATACTTAAAAGTTCTCGAATATTTGAAAACCAAATCCGATAACGTCCTTGAGTTCATTTTTGCCGGTCGCGATTGTGATATAATATTTATTCGGCCTTTCCCGGCCTGAGAGTACGTTACACGCGCACATGCGGTAATGACGGCAACAAGTGGAAGTATGTGCGATACCGAAGCTCGATCTGTAAAATCAAGATCTGCTTTCGCTTTCGTTACCACCCAGAAATTTGCCGGTAGGGCCTATAGTAGTCTGACAACGCCACATTTGTAACATGCAGGCTCTGCATTACAAACGCTGTGTCGCCATGAAAATAAATCGTTTGTCCTGTGCTGTCACTTGTGTGAAAAAAACAAAAGAAAAAGAAAGTTATACAGGCGTTTTGTCAGGCTCGCCATCGTGACCGGTCATTGAACCTGTGCGTTTTCGTCACATCGTGAGTATCGGCGATGGTTGAGGTCACCAAAGTTCATGCAAAAGCGCTGCGAAGTATAGGACTCGAGAATGGGAGGATTATTGATTTTTTTTTTTTAAGATGCAC